CACGCCCGGCGGGGCCCACAAATTTCTTAACAGTTTGGAATAGTGCATGTACTTCTATGTCAGTAATTATTCAATATTTATTCTAGTTTATGTAAAGATGTTCTGTAATTGATCACTGGTTCAGTATGATTTGGAGTCTGTGTCTTGATNTAAAGATGTTCTGTAATTGATCACTGGTTCACTATGATTTGGAGTCTGTGTCTTGATCCCTGGCTTAAGCTCAAAAGATAGAAGAAATATCGACCTGGTTACTCTGCTCCCTTTCACACCGGTCTGAGCCTGCTTCTGGGGCCACCGGTGGTAAACACCATCAGGGTTCAGTCCCCTGGAAATTGGTGTGGGAAAAAGAAAAAGAAAAAGAAAAAGAAAAAAGGAAAAAAAAAAAGAAAAAAAGAAAAGAAAAGAAAAGAAAGAAGAAACAAATCTGCTCTCTGATTTGTTTTCTGGCTGTTAGTACATGGTGGCCACTTGTACTCACTGAGGCACCTGCTTCTTAGGCTTCTGTGTTTGCCCAAAATGTGCCCTGCCTGGCTCTTGGGAGTGAGTAAGTGGGGGAGTCAGGAGGGGAGACCCCGAGAAGGCAGCAGACAGAGAGGAGCCCCTGCAGGCCTGTGGGAAAGGCACCTCTATGGGGACTGCTTGTCCCCCGCCTGGTGCCCTGCCTGGTGGGAATATCTCAACAACAGGTTGTTAAAAATATGTACCTGTTGAGATGCACAATTAGCTCCTCAAACCCAAGGAAGCAGGGCTAGCATTGCTCTGCCCTGACATTTTTCAAATTGGGCATTAAAAAAACAAATAAGGAAAAACACCCTCAGAGCCAGGGAACCCCCTTCGGAGGACCCAGACCGTCTGTGCTCCTTTCTGTCCCTTGGGGCAGAGCAGATGGTGGCTTCCCTTGCCAGGGCTCAGCAAGGAGGGGTAGGTCTAGGAGTGGACCCACACCGTGGGCTTTTAAAAATTTCAAGGGCTCTGAAGACATCCAAATATGGGAGACAGGCCCAAGGCTGCCTTGCCAACAGGGAATAAAGCCGCTTTCATCTTCTCAAAGTTGTCTGACATCCTAGTTCTCGAAAGGGCTCAGCTTTTATATCTGCCCGTTTATATGAACAAGAGAGCGACTTCCCAAGTGAGGTGCATGTAAAATGACCACAAAATGCCACTGGACTAGATGTAAATGAAATAAATGTGCTTATCGCCTCAGAGACAGCAGGACAGGGGGAGATGTTATTTGTTTTCCTCCACGGTTCAGCATGTTTAGGCACCTATCAAACCTAAATTATACCCATGAGGCCCCACACAGCTTTCCCTTCCTTTTTTAGTANAAACCTAAATTATACCCATGAGGCCCCACACAGCTTTCCCTTCCTTTTTTTGGTGTAAATGTGGGGATTGCCACTCATGTTTGTGTTAGCTAAACTAATTATCAGGGTCTAGATGAATCAGAGGGCTCCTTTCTTACAGGAACCCAGCCAGGGCACTGGGATGCTGGAGTGGATGGCCAGGGCAGGAGAGAATTGAATTTAGGCAAAGTCAGCTGGGATCAGTCACGAGCAGTTTTTTTAAAAAAATATATTNAGTTTTTTAAAAAAATATTTTTTTAATGGTTTTTAAAATTGATTTGAGAGAGAGAGGAAGGAAGAGGGAGAGATAGAAACATTGATAAGAGAGAAACATCATGGATAGGCCGCCTCCTGCACACCCCCTGCTCCGGATCAAGGCCAAAACCCNTTTTAATGGTTTTTAAAATTGATTTGAGAGAGAGAGGAAGGAAGAGGGAGGGATAGAAACATCATAAGAGAGAAACATCATGGATAGGCCGCCTCTTGCACACCCCCTGCTCCGGATCAAGGCCAAAACCCAGGCATGTGCCCTGACTGGGAATTGAACCAGTGACCTCTTGGTTCATGGGTCACAGCTCAACCACTGAGCCGCACCAGCTGGGCGAGTGGAGTCAGTTTTGAGGAAGATCAACNGCATGTGCCCTGACTGGGAATTGAACCAGTGACCTCCTGGTTCATGGGTCAAAGCTCAACCACTGAGCCGCACCAGCTGGGCAAGTGGAGTCAGTTTTGAGGAAGATCAACTTCTTCCTGCAAAGCAAGTCCCAGGACCTTTGCCCTGAGTGGTATTTCCCTCATATGCCTTTGGAATTGCAGCTCTGTCATTTCAGGTTCATGACATTTTCGCAGAGCCCCCAGGATGGAAATAACATACCAGTTCTCTGGCAGTTGGCATTCTTTCCGCCGTTTTTTATAGCTCTCTGCAGAACTCTCATGCTGTTTACATGTGATTTATATTCCTCCTGTGTTCCCTAAATGGATGTAATAAAAACAGATTTAGAATATTAAAATGACAAGGTTCAGGCCAGCATGGTCAAATACAAATTATTTCCTGGGGGGGGATAGAAAATCATGAAGGATAAAGTGAGAATCACTTCTTAGTAAATATTTCTTGCTCGCCCTTAGGGCACTGTTTCTCAGAGTGCAGCACACTGGATTCCTCACGGTGTTTTTTTTGGTTTTAATTTTGAAAATTCAGATTGATAGGTCCTACACCCACTTTGCAGATTCAGAGCCTTTGGGGGCAGGATTCGCATTTCTCATGAGTTCTCCCAATGCCCTGACTTCTGGCCCACCCTGTGTCGGTCTAGGGCACCCCTCAAAAGAAATGTGTTGTGTTGCTTGAATTAAATGAATTCCAGAGCTGGAGTCTTCCCAGGGCTGAGGGCGAACAGAGCCAGGCAGGCAGGTGTGGGGCCAGGGGCCCAGGGATGCGCTGTGGGCAGGGGAGGAGTCCAGTGGCCATGGTGAGGACAGGCCTGTCCAGTTTGTTGTGAGGTGACATCTGCCCAGCTTGATGAAAGGATGGTGCAGATTTGAGGTGTGACAGGGAGACCTGTGAGGGTTGATGGCATATATACGTTTCGACAGGCGGGTTCTGCTGGGTAGTGGGTTTCTGGCAGCCCCAGAGAAGAGATCTGAGCATCCATCTGTGTCTGAGGGTCTGGCAGCAGGGGAGAGTTGGGAGGGGGTAAGGGAGGTCGGAGGGACCTGGCTTCCACCCCTGAGGGACTGTTCAGTGAGCAGCTGGGCCTCACAGCCACTTGGGGAACTGTGTGAAAACTCCTATTTCTGAGCTTGAACCAGCCCTTCTGCATGCTCTGGGACTCTATTTCTAAAGCCGCCCAGGTAATCTAAAGTGACAGTCCCTTGGAGAAAAAACTGACTTGGGGATCACCAGACCTAGCTATATGACCTTGACCTAACTCCATCTGAACCACAGTTTCTTTATCTGTAAGATGAGGGTGCAGGTGCCTTTTTCTTCCTCTTTTGAGTGTTGTGAGAATTCGGGACAAGAGATGTGACACACCCAGCACAGTTGGCATTATTAACTGGTGGCTGCAAACCTTGCGAGAGCTGTGGTTCTAGGGAAGGTAATTAGGGCCTGTCCATTGGGCATAGGAGTCCACAGGGGGACCCAGTGATCAGCTCTGGGATTTAGGGAAGGGGCTCGGCTTCGGCAATACTGGGCCCTGATATCCAGAACTGGAACTAGAAAAATAAAGAGCAACAATAATGTTAAGGTTTAAACAGCATTGATTTATGCAGGCCTGGCACTGTTCTGAGCACTTTATGCGCAACTTTAGCAGTTAAGTACTATTGTTATCTCCATTTTAGAGATGAGACAAGTGAGGATCAGAAGGACACAGCCATTATATGTCAGACCCAGAATCAAGTTTCGGACCCAGGCTCTTTGGCTCTGGGTCTTCAGTAAGGGTGTCTGCCTATTTAAGCCAAGCTTTAGGTCAGAGTGGCCCTCACACCTCAAGACTGAGTTTTAAAAGTAAGCTGGGCCCGGCCAGGGTGGCTCAGCGGTTGAGCATCGACCTAGGATCCAGGAGGTCGCTGGTTCGATTCCCAGTCAGGTCTGTGCCCCGGTTTCGGGCTTGATCCCCAGCAGGGGGCCAGCAGGAGGCAGCCGATCAATGACTCTCTGCCTCGCCCTTCCCCTCTCTGAAATCAGTAAAAATATATTAAAAATAAACAAATAAAAATAAGCGGGGCCCCGGGCAACATGGTCCTATATGTTTCCATGCCATACATCTCTAGATGTAAAATTGTCCAGCCCTTTCATAACAAAGTTAGAAGAGCTGATGTTTTTATAACCGAAGCCGAGCTGTATTGTAAACCTGTATTGTTGTCAAAGGCTTGATAAAGTTTAACAGAAAATCCGTAACTCAAAATTGTCTTATATTGAAAATCCCTTGCTCTCTTTTTGTTTCATTCTTGTGTTAAGATTTGACCCCTTTCATGGGTGAATCTGCACTTCAAAGGGCCTCTCTGACCCTGTTCTTTCTCCGCTTATTTCTTTCTCTCACTGATTCAATCTTCATTCATTCACTACACATCCGAGTGTCTCATCAAGGTTTCCCACCCCTTGCACACGAAACCCTGGCGTTAGTAAATATATGTCTTTTTTTTTATTTATTTATTTATTTATTTATTTATATTGATTTCAGAGAGAGGAAAGGAGGGGGAGAGAGAGATAGAAACATCAATGATGAGAGTCATTGATCGGCTGCAGCCCATAACCTGGGCATGTGTGTGACTGGGAATCGAACCCCGATCGCCTGGATCCTAGGCCGACGCCCAACCGCTGAGCCACACAGGCCGGGCCTATAGATCTTGAATTCTGAGAGCATTTGTCGGGATCTCAGCAGCATGTAAAATTCTCTTCTCTCTCCCTCTCTGTGCTCCCAGGGCATAACCTTCAGTAACGGGACACATCAGGCCAGCCGGCCACCTGCCACGTCCTGCGGCGTCTTGTCGAGGACCCCAGCCGTCCCCCTTGCTAATCACCATCTCCCCTCACGACATCTCTGGGTCCCCGAAGGAAGCCAGACCAGAATCTGAAATTTTCCAAGGACCTCCAACAGACAGCGAGCGCACAAGGATGCTTAGGTGGCCTTGCCCAAATCCGCTCTGACTGAGAGACGCGGGGGCAGGAACCCGGGTGTCGCTTTCACCCCAGAAGTCGCAGACACACCCTGCATTTTAAACCCCTGCCCATAGCACGGGTGATGGTCACTGAAACAGCCCGTGCCTCCACCTCGGTGCGCACGATTTAGCCTGAGAGGCGACCTGGCAGTGGCGGAACCGAGGAATGGATGACTATAAATATCGGGACAGCTACGAGGCCTATGCCCACGCCGATGGCTATTGTCGCGGCGACGACTCCAACCCCGAAGAAGACGCGCAGAGTGATGTCACGGAAGGTCACGACGAGGAAGATGAGATATACGAGGGCGAGTACCAGGGCATCCCCCCCCCGGAGGATGCCAGGGCCAAGAAGACCAGGACGGCGCCCCCCAGGGCAGGTGACCTTGGGGACCGCGCAGACCTGGTGGCCCAGAGGCTGGAAGACGAGGAGGAGCTGGCTCACCAGTACGAGACCATCATCGACGAGTGTGGCCACGGGCGCTTCCAGTGGACCCTCTTTTTCGTCTTGGGCTTGGCCCTGATGGCCGACGGGGTGGAGGTGTTTGTGGTGAGTTTTGCTCTGCCCAGTGCCGAGAAGGACATGTGCCTGTCCAGCTCCAAGAAAGGGATGCTTGGTAAGTGGAAATTTCCAAAGGTCACCCTCTTCGTGGCAGTAACGCATTTATATAGCGCCCCTCACTGTATCCTTTCAGCATTATCGTTTTTTAATTTAATTTAATTTAATAATTTAATTTAATTTAATTTAATTTATTATTTTATTTTATTTTATTATTTTATTTTATTTTATTTTTTATTTATTTTTATTTTTTCCTCCCCCCTCAGCATTATCATTTTATTTTATTTTATTTTATTTTATTTTATTTTATTTTATTTTATTTTATTTTATTTTATTTATTTTATTTTATTATTTTATTTTATTTTTTATTTATTTTTATTTTTTCCTCCCCCCCCTCAGCATTATCGTTTTATACACAATTTGCCATCAAGGTGTTTTTAGCTTTTATTTATTTATTTAATTTAAAAAAATATGATTTCAGCCTGGCCTGTGTGGCTCAGTGGTCGAGCATCGACCTAGGATCCAGGAGATTGGGGTTCGATTCCCAGGTCAGGGCACAGGCCCAGGTCATGGGCTCAATCAATGACTCTCTCATCATTGATGTTTCTATCTCTCTCTCTCCCTCTCCTGTCCTCTCTCTGAAATCAATAAAGATATATTTTAAAAAATATATATATGATTTCAGAGAGAGGAAGGGACAGGGAGAGAGAGAGAGAAACATCAATGATGAGAGTCATGGATCAGCTGCTTCCTGCGCGCCCCCTACGGGGGATGGAGCCCCAAATCCAGGCCTGTGCCCTGACCGGGAATCGAACCTTGGCCTCCTGGCTCAACCCCTGAGTCACGCCAGCTAGGCATGTTTTTTGTTTTTTTGCATGGCTGTTTGTTTCTCCTTTCAGGTCTTTTAATATTTGCTTTACATATTCTGGTGCTTTGATTTTGGGTGCATAAACTTTATAATTGTTAAACCTCTATAATTGTTATATAATTGATGACTTGACCCCTTTGTCATTCATTATATAATAACCTTTTGTTTTGTTTTGTTTTTGTCTCTCATGACCATTTTTGACTTAAAGTTTCTTTGTCTGATATAAGTATAGCCAATCTTGCTCTCTTTTGGTTTCCATTTGATTGGAATACCTTTTTTATGTTCCTTTCACTTTCAGCCTATATATGTCCTTTTTTTAAATCCTCACCCTGAGGATATTTTATTCCCCACTGATTTTTAGAGAGAGTGGAAGGGAGGGAGGGAGGAAAGAAGGAAGGGGGAGAAAGAGAGAGAGAGAGAAAGAGAGAGAGAGCTTTTTTTTTTAATCTTAGAGAAATTAATGAATTGGCTCACATTTACACAGCTAGTGGGCGTTGGAGCTTGGATTTCTACTCAGGTCTGTCTGACTCTCAAGCTCTTAGTTATTTTTCCAAATCTTGCGGCCTCCTTGAGAGTCTGAGTGCTCTCTTTTTCAGATTAAGCCGTCTTCCATATCCAAGTGACAGATACGTCTTGTGAGTGGCAGGCCAGAGATCTCTTCCACTCAGTGCTTTTCTCTGTGTTCTTCTGGAATCTGCTCTGCCCCCGGTTTCCCCGGTATATAAGTGTTAGTGGGCAGAATGCCCGTGTGTCTTGGGGATGGATGCTGGGCTGAGCACACCCACGGAGCCCCTGCAGGATGTTGGGAACCACGTGGTGAGGCACAGATGGATTCTGCAGGGTGAAGGACCAGCTTTGCAAATCAGCGATGAGACCAGCACCCTCAGAGCCAAGCGCCAGCTCTCAGGGCTTGAAGCAGAGAGGATTTTGTGAAGTTAGAGAAAGGGTGGACACTAACAGTGTGGCAAAGAAGAGATTCATCATAAATACAGACAAGGATTTGTCCTGGTCATTAAATATCCTGCAAAACACATTCATTCTCTAAATTTAGAGTCAATGCAATTAATTGTTTAACAAGCATACAGTTACTGAGAACTTATTATGAGTCAGGTTCAGACTCAAGGCTGAAACAAATTTAATGGCCCTCAAGAACTCAAAAATCTATCTAGCAACTTAGTTTATTCATTCAACAAATATTTATTATTTGTATCCCATGTGCTAGCCCCTGGGGAGAAAATAACTAGTACTTGCCTCTCAGGGAACTTACATGTAGCAGGACCAACAGGTATTAACAAACACAGAGACTTATTTACTTACTTTAGGGATTCGAGCTATAAATACTTGTGCTCTTCTGATCTTCAGTACTTGCTTTCCAGCAGGGGTTGGCAAACATTTTTTGTAAAGGCCCAGTTAGTAAATATTTTAGGCTTTGTGGGCCCAGATGGTCTCTGTCACCACTAATCAGCTGTGCCCCTGTAGCACAAAGGCAGCTATAGACAATACGTAAACAAATGGGCTTGGCTATGTTCTAATAAAACTTTTATTTACAGGAAAAGGCAATAGGCAGGATTTAATCTATAGGCTTGTAGTTTGCTGGCGCCTGATATAGAGTCACTATAAATAAAATTGAGATAGAAAATTTAAAAAATCTGCATGAAGAATTGTCCTTGGGGGCTTTTAAGAAATAGTTTTATCCATTCCTGCTTAACTATAAGGATCTTTTAAAATGATTAGAACTGCTTGGGTGGTGTGGCTCAGTGGTTGAGTGTCAACCCACGCACCAAGAGGTCCCCAGTTCAATTCCTGGTCAGGGGACATGCCTGGGTTGCAAGCTCGATCCCCACTGGGGTGTGTGTGCAGGAGGCAGCCAATCGATGTTGATGTTTTTCTCATCAATGTTTCTCTCTCTCTTTCCCTCTCCCTTCCTCTCTGTCTAAAATCAATAAAAATAAATAGTTAGAACTGTGTCAAATGTGACCATTAGGAAACCAAAAGAGACTGAGCATGCAGAAACAGAAGAAATGACTTGAGAAGCAAGGCTGCCACTTGGAGTTTTTAAACACCAACAGGATTTTAGTAGTTTTTTCGGTTATTATTATTTTACAAATTCTGCTAGGTGCCTTTAAGTTTGAATACATATTTTTAAAAAGGGCACAAAACAAACCCCCAAACCCAATCCAAAGCAAACCATCCCCAATTGGTCTAAACATTTCCAAGATGTTAATTTGTTTTGTGGCCTTCTGACTGAAAGCGTGGGCCCCTGTTCGTCCAAATTGGCCATGTCAGTAATGATTTCACGCCCTCTTGGTCTCTCTGCCCCCCTGGTGCCTGGCAGCCTCATTAACAGAGCAGGGGCATGGTCGACGCTTCTGCTGGCTCCCAGGGCAAATGCTGGGAGCCAAGGGAGCGTGCTCTCAATCTGGAGAGCCCACATCTGTGCAATTTTGCTTTTAGCGCTTGCCAAGAAGATGCCACGTCTCAGCCCATTTCATTTTGTGCTAGACATTTTACATGACATTTCTAATCCTTATAACAATCTGGAAGGGAAGCGCTATTTCACCATTTTATGGATGAGAAAATTTAGGCTCTGAGAGGTTCAAGCACCTTGTCAAAAGTAGTTAGTACAAGACCCAGGATTTGAAACCAGTGACGTCTCACTTTGAAGTCTTTCGGTTCTCGTTTACCTTGCTGTCCTGCCCATGGGAGATGTTTTTGGGTGTCCGTTACATGTATCACCTTAGACAACCTTTTTATGCAAAGTGCATCACCCCAATAAGATGTAAGTGGCAGAGCAGTGCTGGAGTCGGTTGCAGGCCCTCTCTGTAGGAGAGAGGGGGACATAGTCCATGTCTCAGCCATAGCTGAAAGGACAGATGCCAGTTCCTGAGGGCTCTGTAGCCATCCCTGAGGCATAGACTGTCAGCCCAGGAGAGGCTGTCCAGAAGGCTGAGGAGCCACCCTGCCATCTCTCTGTGTCAGGCCGTGAAAGGGGTCTATACAGGAATGACCCATTTCCCTGTATAGACCAGTGCTGCAGAGGCGCAAAGGACTCCCCGCACCCTCCCTGCCAGGAACCACGTCAGACAGAACACTCAGGTCCAATGGGGGAGTTCACCACTGCACAACTAAAATGGCCCTGTGANGCCGTGAAAGGGGTCTATACAGGAATGACCCATTTCCCTGTATAGACCAGAGCTGCAGAGGCGCAAAGGACTCCCCGCCAGGAACCACGTCAGACAGAACACTCAGGTCCAATGGGGGGTTCACCACTGCACAGCTAAAACGGCCTTTTGGCCTGGCCCGTGTTGCTCAGTGGTTGAGCATTGACCCATGAACCTGGAGGTCACAGTTGGATTCCCAGTCAGGGCACAGGCCCAGGTTGTGGGCTCGATCCCCAGTAGGGGGCGATGTTTCTTTCTCTCTCTCCCTCTCCCTTCCTCTTTCTGAAATCAATAAAAAGCACACCTTTAGAATGGCCCTTTGTAGGCCAGTGGATATAAAAATCCTCCTTTATTTATACACCTCCTGCAGCACAAGCCCAGATGAGCTGGTTCTCACTTTGCAAGGGATTGTTTTAGTTTCCTGAGGAGGAAGCTTCAGTCTCAGATGTGAGCAGGGCAGGGAGGAGGGGAGAGGGAGACAGAGAAATGCTCCTGGGGATGTCATGGGGTCATGCCCCATGGGGTCCCCTGAACAGGAAAAGTGTGAGCCCCTCCTCTCCCCGGAGGCTGCCGGAGCTGCTCAGATGTACGGGGAGTGTCTTCTGTTTCACGTCTGATGTTGTATCTGATCACCTGCTTGCCTCTGGTGCTCGGAGTGTATATCCCGTGTGAAAAACCTCCAGAGATGCTGAGAGGCTTGTCATCAGAACCAGCTTTCTGGAAGGAAGTCAAGCCTTGTGTCTCAAAAGCCACACACTCATTAAGCCCCCTTGACCTCAAGCATCTAAAACATCAGCATTTAAAGAAAGGCACGCCAGACCCGGTTATGGTTGATCTATGTTAGTACGTGTACACATGTGAGAATGTTTATTTTTGGATAGCGTTCCCAAGAAGTTGAATGTGTACAGAACTTCGAATTTTCCACGAAGGTCTGTTTCATTCCACCCTTTTATGTCAGTGACACGGAATTTCTAGGATGCATAAAACAGGCACTGGGGTTTCTAATACATTGCATGGTCTCTAATGTNACTGGGGTTTCTAACACATTGCATGGTCTCTGATGTTTGTCTTCTCTCTCCCCCCTCTCCCCTCTCTTTCCCAACAGGGATGATAGTCTACCTAGGAATGATGGCGGGGGCCTTCATCTTGGGGGGCCTGGCTGATAAGCTGGGGAGGAAGAGAGTTCTCAGCATGTCTCTGGCCCTCAACGCCTCCGTTGCCTCTCTCTCTTCCTTCGTGCAGGGTTACGGAGCCTTTCTGTTCTGCAGACTCATCTCAGGCATAGGGTATGTGGCCTCAGAGCTCCAGCTGGACCCTTCTAGAACAATGGTCCATCCATTCTGGCACTCCAGCTCTCAGCGGTACTGCCAGAAATCCTATGTTTTTTTGTCTGACTTCCAAGATTCCGTATTGAAGTTAACCTTAGAAAGGGGTTAGGTTGTCAGGTCAGTGTCACTTGACCTTGGCCAGTCTTTCAAATTCACTTGGGTGTTTCCCCACAGAGCCTAAGGGTGGGGTCGAGGCAACTGGATTTCTGCTGTGACCGTTTTTTAGTGTGTGACTTCATTTTTCCTGGCATTGTTTTCCTCTGCAGCATTGGTGGGGCTCTGCCCATTGTTTTTGCCTATTTCTCGGAATTCTTGTCTCGGGAGAAGCGAGGGGAGCACCTCAGTTGGTTGGGCATCTTCTGGATGACCGGGGGCATCTATGCGTCTGCCATGGCCTGGAGCATCATTCCGCACTACGGTGAGCAAGCACATGGCTTAAAGTGGCCCAGGGTCCCTTGTTACCAAGGCAGCTACATCCAGACCACATTTCCTGTCCTCCACCTTATTCCCCGCACTCATGCATAGTTCCTGTGTCACCTTGATCTTTCTAAAGAACTTCCAACACTGGAGACACATTGCTAATTTCAGTACATGTATTTCAGGAAATAATGCGGTCTGCCCTCC